CGTGCATAGAGGTAATCCCCCCCCCCCCACACACACACACAGAAAGGAATGCGTCGGGTCAAATATTATACTCGTTCTTTCGAATAATATAGTAGTCACAGAGAAGTGGGTCGTCTGCGAATAGGTCTTCCCACGATTCATGCCAGCGCCACCTGTCGTAGACTTCTCTTTCTGAACTCCAATAGGAACTGTCTGTTCATCGTGAGGACCTGGGCCGATGATGTAGTACTGACACGGTGGGGGGGACATCGGCACAATTCGTATGAGTATTATTATTATTATTATTATTATTATTATTATTATTATTATTATTATTATTATTAATGATTTATTAGCATTATCATAATTAAAAATAAACTTAAAGAATAACCATTCGCAACCAGGTCATTAAATAACAGGAGACTTGGTTATGTACATAAAAACGTAATGCAGCTCACTATAATTACTAAAATCTCTTTTGTAAAGGGGAAACATTTTTCCGACGATTCCCGAACATTGCATTTATATTCATTCACTAATATTTGCATTTAGAATCGATCTTCAAACTTAAAACACTCGCTATCTTGGCTTCGCTACCTTCCGCAACTCTCGAAATAAAACGAACAAGACCACTTCAATTACGATATATTTGTTCTTGAAAAAGACGTAATGGACAGTTAAAGGCAGGTAAGTGTTCGTTCTATTAACTTAAATATATTATGAAATGTCAGTGTTTTAGTACGAAATCAGTTATTAGGAGAAGGTCATGCCACAATTACAGCCTTTTCAATTTAATAGAAAAAATCAAGGAATTTTGTCGAGAAGAAAGTGCAAATTTCTTTCTAAACGAAAACTTCTTTATGTCTTACATATACAGATAACAATGAATTGTTGTTTATGATCTCAGGCTGGAATGTAGCCTTTTGATGTGTCTTATTACACCGATCTCCGTCCTGCGCTTCTTCAAAAAGTGAGTAACACGTTTGGTTAATTAATTAATTAGATCGCTGGTGAGGTGAGGTGAGATACCTTCTGTTATTATCGCATAGCGATCATCCTCAAAGCTAAATAATATTTGTATTTCAAATTTTAGCTCTGAGGATGATCGCTATGCAATCGAAATGATCATAAGGTTAATGAAAAAGTTATTGATACCAGACATCTTTATCATAACACGTTTGGGTTTTTTCGGTGGGCAATATCACAGCACGTTAAATAGAAATGTATGATAGGTAAGTCTGGCCTTAGGTCACTTGATGCGGAAACTGTGTCAGAAAAAGTGGACGACGCTCAGCGGAACATATTTCGAGTGTTTAGTGCAAATAATTACGCTTTAGACTATATTTTCATTATCAGGACGCTGCGGTAACAGTAAATGCCTCATTTTCTTCAAAACTGGGATCGATAGCGCAGCCTTGTTGTCGAAGCGAAGCAGTTTGTGGTAGTTCTAGAAAACTGCTTTCGTAGTCGGTCTTGGTTCTCCCGAGGCCGAATGGCTGTGTCATGCCCAAAGAGCAATTCACCAACGATGCATTTGTTTTCCAACTAAGAGTTGCTAATTTTAATAGTGTGATGGCCTTACTGTCGCCATGAGGAAGCCATGCATTTTGCATCTAGTAATTATATCCAGCTTCATTGCATAAGTAATTGTTGAAAAAACGATGTTAGGAGCAAGTTAAAAAACGAATGTAATATACAACGCTATAAAACAGTTGCACGCTCTGTTTTCCGCATAACATCTCTTAAATTGATTAAGAAGATAAAATGATATTTGGAGTTTGTATGAGCTTGTGGCATTCATGCTTGGGGCTTACAGCTCCCTTGATACATGTGAACTCACGTTGTTTGTTGGCAGCGGGCTTGTTTAATTTTGTTTACGTAGTAGAAATAGTTAAAAATATTGACAGCAAATGAAACATTATCAAATAACGGCAGAACGCATTCACAATCTGATGAAATTTATTTCATAACATTAAATGTGCAAGCACGAGTTTATTAATTTCTAGTATTTAGGGGTAGGTCGAGTGGGTAGGAACCGTAACAAATACGTTGAAGCCAATTGGCATCATATCATTTTTCTATTCCCTTCGACAATAAGACCCAATTAATCGTAGTTTTTAAATAAAAAATGAATAATCCCAAGCGATACGTTTGATGGCATTGTTTGGCCTCGGTGTAATAAAATTGGAGCGTCCATTCGACAATAATTATGAACATAATAAAGACCAATATAATTTACGTAGTATTTTTTGTACGGGTCATTAAAACTAATGGTCGCGATACAATGCACAGAAATCAAAAACGTTTAAATGTAAATTCTCCCACTCAGACAAGTTAATGGCAGAAACATCCACCACTTTATTTATTAACATCGTAATACATTCAACTAATGACGTAACGAAATCGTTTTGTTGTTGGAGTAACCTAATTAACAATCCACTTTAAAAAAATGTATTCATTATTAATGTAACAAAACATAAAAGAAATGAGGTGATAATAAAATACAAGAAAATCTTCGCTCTGCTAACTACGTAACTAACTCTGTACTACTTAAGCTAATATCATTCATGTGTTATTGTACAGCATTATAAGAGATCTCACAAATTAAGAACATACAAATATTTTTGTATCCATTTATATGCATTTATTTAATTTTTTCCAATAGTGAAGAGTATGAATTATTCCATAAATTTAATTAGAAAAAATAGAAAAATAATCTGTATTCCAGACAGGGACATTTTGTTTAAATAGACGGTATTTATTTAAAAGCACTCTAATTTGTTTAACTTAGTACATGCATCTCCTATCAGTATTTTATTAAAACCCAACGAAAATTACTTCAGTGCATGATGAAAGAAAAAACAAATGAAATTGCTGTGAAAAACCTGCAATAGTCAACACATTTTTTTCTGGGTAGAAATCACGGCTACCCAACGGGGAGAAGGCCACCGTTCACCCTTCCCCTTGCAGTGCGCTCCGGACTCCCCCCTTCCCCTCACACCGCCCCCTGGCAAGTTGGCAACTCGCTCTCGCTAGGAGGGGGGAGAAAAGCAGGTGGAAGAAGGGAAGCGGGCTGGCGGTGTGAGGTCCGCTCAATAGTCGGGTCCTTACGGCGCGGCGACAGCGGTCGGTGCGACTCGCTCGCCGCAGCGGAGGAATATTTCTCCGCGGCGTGCTCTCGGGGGAGAGGCACTTCGCCGCTCTCGACAACCTGCCCCTGCCCCTGAGCCGACTCGCCGCTTCGACCGAGTCTCGCCTTGCATGCGGCCGCAAGTGCCAGTGATTAAACGTTGTTGGCAAACCCCGGAGGTGGTGGTTACGAAGCAAGGTACTGCATTTTACGCACCTCCTTGTTTTCTCTAAACGAATATTCGTGCAAGCATTAATACAACTTATTTTATTTGTAGGACTGTCAGTATATTTTCGAATTTGACGTGTGTTCTGGTTTTTATTATTGACAGGCATTGCTATTTTGTTACTATTGTATTATTGTTAAAAATAAATCCAAATGAAACCAGTCATAAGCCTCGAAACGTCGGAAGGTAAACATATTTTATTTGAATTTATTCTTTTGAAAATAACATGTAAAGAATAATAATGACTGTCATAATATAAAACCTTGACAGATTTCAACGTTAATAAAATGTATTTCAGGATACACTAAATTAATATATTGTGCCTTCGTATTGAATACATTCTCTTTTTTCACCAATATTTAAAAGATAAATTAACCTTAAATTTTAGGAAATGTCATCTGTACAAAATGTAGGATAATTCAGCAATAGAGATCCAGTCCAAAACAGTGGCTAAAGGGACACCTTCACGGCAAGCGCGGTCACACAAGTTGCCAGAATAGCCAAGCGCTGTACTTAAAGTTCAGTTCTGGGAAGACTGCTAAGTTAGGAGAGAAGATCGCTACCACTGTCCGCCCACCGTGATCCGGCGCTTGTTTGTGTTCTCTATACCGTGCAAACAAAGTGTATCTTTTCTCCTGTTTACAAATTACAAATTACAAATTACGCAATATGTCCAATCCACGAAGGCCTCGTTTGCTGGCGGTTTCGTTTGCGAGATTTTCAGTACAACATCCTGCTGCTTCTCGGATATCCACGTAGAACGCATTTGTTTAACAGCATTTGGACGAAGCGTGCTTGGTGAGTGAAAAGCACGAATCAATACCACACATGTGTAATAAAATTTCACTTCCACCGTAGTTAACGGGCGGTTCACCGACACTCATCAAACGAGACGTTAGTAAACTAGTCGTTAAAATCAACGTTTCCGTTAAGAAATGTTCCATTTCATCAACGTTTTGCCGTCCTCGTTAGTTTGTCGCTTTACTTTCACGGGCGTTCACGTGGCGTCACGTGTGTCAACACATCCCTAACTACCTTTCCACCCCACTACTCCCCTTCCCTTTCACACTTCTCGCTCCCCCTCAATTCCCACTCCCCTCCCCTCAGTTTCAAACCCCTTCCCGCATTTTCAATCCTCACCCCTGTTTTTCACGTCACCCCCTCTCATCTGTATTGCTCCCCTCCGCACCGCTTATCAATCTCCAGCAATATTGTTTCTGAAAACACGAGCCGATTTTCGCACCCCCAGTCTCTGGGCTAAAAAAAATAACAATATGGCAGCTCCAGGCGGACACCCTCCTCCATGCACTTAGAGAACACCATAGCGTAAAAAAAGGAACAATTAATAATAATAGTAATATTAATAATATTGAAATTCTTGTTTCTTCTTGTTGATACTAATTTAATAGTAGATAGATGTTAGTATCAGGTAGATTGAAGGATCAATCTTAGGTAGATTCCAGGAATTAAAACTTTAATAGTTTATATATATTTATTAATATCTCAAAATTTCGCACATTTTGCATGTGCCTTGTCAAGGTTAATATAGCGACAACGGTTGAAATTAAGACTTATATATATCGTTCGTTGAGATATTGAAAAAATACCTATATGGTCAAAATCTGAAACTGAAAATAAGTCTTACCTCTGTTCTTCTTCGCGGCTCGGATCTGCACTCAACTTGCTCCCGAGGTCAGGCAAAGTGCAGAATGCTTTTAGGGACATTTCTCAGAATTTTATTTCATATATGGATATGAGTACGTTTTCCAATTACTTTGTCCACAGTGTGGTGTTGGAGGCTGACTCCAGAATATTATCACTGCTTTGCTCTCCGCATTACGAACATACAATCGTATCGTGCCTTTATCTCAATGCTGCTGAAGGTTTCTCCCCCTGTTATCAAAATGTGCTAAAGGTGCAACCTCGTCTAAGTCTTCAATATAGACTTTTGTGAATGTCGTGAACGTGTATTAAAACTAATCTGTGCGAAAGTACGTATTCTCTCGAAAGACAACGCATAGAACTGTTTTCGCGCTGAAGTAATTTACCGGAAACCCTTTCTTAAGCTCACACAGCTGTGTGCCGTGGGGCTCTACCGCGGACACCACTGAGCTGTCAGAAGTTATTTCTGTTCAGCCTGCGGTGGTTTGGCTCACCCCCACGAAAAGCCTGGGAAGTTGAAAATGTAGCCGGATCAGAGAAAGTTCCAAAGTGCATTTATGAGGCACCAAATGCGCCTTTGCTAACTTACGCCGACTCCAAAGCCTCGAGCGAAAATTGTGTAAAGCACACAACGAAGTTATGATACAGTTCGAACAATTTATAAATGCGAATTAATAAACTTTCGTTTTCGCAACTTGTGAAATATGTTCATGCTAAGATTACCGGTAAATATGCCGGTTTATATGGAACGACAGTCGTATTTTACGAGGTTAGCGAGTACGTTTTTGGCAAACAGCTAAAGCATATTTAGATTTCATCCAATGATAAATCCTTTTATAAGATATTTATCCCACTTCAGATCTGATTCAAATATAAGAACTTGTCATCCCACTTCAGATTTTCCCACATCCTACTTCAGATCCAATTCCCACATCCTTATCCTACGTAAATTTTGTGTTATTCAGGTATATCCTACGTATCCATATATTGTAGTTATTCATGTGTCGGAATATTCAATAACCCTGAATTGGGTGATGCTTGTGGGGACACCTGAAGTAGGGTGTGGGATAATCTGAAGTGAGAACACAATTTCTGTTATTTGAATCAGATCTTAAGTAGGATAAATATCTTTTAAAAGGATTAATCATTAAATGAAATCTAAATATGCTTTAGCTATCTTGTCAAAAAATACTCGCTCCCCCTTAGTATCTTTTATTTATAGGCAATCAAATACGTAATATGTTTATTACATTACATGGAACAACGTTTAAAGACCGATGTGCGTGCTTCGTCAGATACATCAGCTAATATAGTAGCAACAAAATTAATAACAATAAAATGATATTGGTACATTTTGTATAAGTAACATGTTTAAATTCAGTTATACAAGACAAGAAATAATGAACTCAAAATCAGGCTCACCTTCTCTTAATTTATTTTAAGCCTATTTCATGCTAAAATCAGCATTGGGATGTCTTTGTTTTGTTTTTTTAAAATTTTCATTGAGATTGAATTAGAATTAATTTACATATCGATTCAAATTATTCGGAGATTTAAAAAGGATCTCCAATTTATATGTTATTGTCAAATGTTATTACATTTGAAAATGATTCCTGAGTCTATAATTACACCAAATATTTTGGCAGACAGCCACCACAATAACCTTAAGTACTATTTTACAAGACTGTAAGAGAATGTAAATAAATGAGAGTATTATATAAATATAGCTGAATGTGGTGAGATGAGAGAAATGACTGTCTCAATGAAATGCTCTCAAATTCTACACCTTACTACGCCTATTAAAATACTTGCAGTGATAGACATTTTCACTGTTTTGTCAATCATCCATGTTAAATCGATTTGCCGGATCTCAAATTTTCATTGTTCGCCTAGAATATATGTGACCATTTCTTCATGCGAAAAATATTTGCTGAGTAAGTAAAAACGCACATTTTCAGATGATTCTCTTATTCTATCTCAATAAAATTTCCATCGACTGCAGATGTGGTTCAAATTATCTGGAGACTCAAAAAGATTTCAATTTTCGTAAAATATCCTTTGAAAACGATACCTATTCACTAATTACACTATATTCCTTACCGCTTCCTGCAATAGCTACATGTTCAAAACGCCACATTGCGTTTCTCGTTTCGAAACTCTTTGTTCCCGACGTTTGATTGCACGACATGATCACGTAGCAAACGCTAAGCTATCGGAAATGAACCGCAACGGAGCAACAGTTGCATGCACACGCGTTCTATGTGGCCGCTATTTGGACTGATCCTGAAGCCGCATTCAACGCAGAGGCCGTGGCCGTATAATTCAACGGACATACCTTTAAACCACCGTAGAAACATCAAAAAAGTGTAACTTATGTAATTGGCATCGTTTTAACATCTCGAATTTCGTATATTTTTCCTTCAGCCTTCTAGAATTACAATGTCTGAAACTCTTATATTTACGATAACAATTTTTTTCTTTCTAGCTTGATATTGAATTATGTAACACTGGTATAATTTTGATTAGTAAAATGTTTATTTATTTTATCATTCGTGATTTTTTTTGTACTGTCTACTTACGTACAAAGACAAGACTTAAGACAAAAAAGTTATTGTAATAGTATGACAGAAAAATTTTTTGAGAAAAAACAAACGTTTTACGGTGGCTGTAAAACTCATATTTGGAGCACCTAAAACAAAATGTGGCATTTCTTTTCCCATTTCTAGTAAATTACTTTCCTTCTAATAGGTTGTCACTCAGAATCCACGTTTTGTGATTACTGATAACCGAAAATTGATTAAGGCGTGATGTGTTCTTATGGCGTTTTCTATTGTCGCGTACGCGCCCTGCCTACTGAGACTCTTTTTCGGCTTTTCAAAAAATACGTATGACTATAGATCCTGAATTAAAACCGCACATGAATTAGTGAATTTAACAGTTACCCTTTAGAAAATTTCTCAAGCGCATTGGAGAGTCCAGCTCCAATATCACGAATAACCCTACGCGATATACCGATTCGTGCACGTCGTAATCGTAATATGCAAATATTAAAATCTGAGACAAACAAATCCCTGTAAAACAAAGTTGATTACAGGTTAATTAAAGTGTATTTCTTATAGTAACAATTTTGAAATATTCTTTATGAATTAGCAGGAGATTTCGTAAAAGGGGCATGAATGGTCAAACCGCGATGAATTAATGCGTCAAGTATATAACTCACCTGAGTATCACTTCGCTTGCAGTTTGAAATGTATGACTATTACTACTCTGCGCGAGAACTAGCGAAAGGTGCATCGTGCATCCGTAATGTGGTCGTCCCGCGAGTTCGAATTCGCGGGGCAGTGTCCCGCAAGATTAGTCTTCCTCGGGGCCGCGGCCCAGTCGATCGTGCGGGGCGGCCCTCTCGGTTAGCGCTGGCAACACTCTCCCGGCGATCGACGCGCGACCCATTCGAGGGCGAAAAGCGCGCGACGAATGCGCGGGTGGGATGAATGGGCCGAGGCGCGAAACGAAGCGCCCAGCGTGCGGCGAGAGAAACAGCGGCGTGCAAGCGGCCATAGCGGACGCCCGCCGCGGCTGGGTCAGGGTTAGGCGAGCCGAGAATGTTTGAGGGCATGAGGGAGTGCGTAAGTGCTGTGTCGTGGGGTGTGCTGTGGGACGTCTGTGGGGTACGGAGTGTCGGCGGTGGCCGTGCGGGTGCGCGTGTCGGGTGCGCGTGTCGGTGCGCGTGTCGGCTGCGCGTTCCGCCGGTGCGCGTTGTCGGTTGTGCGCGTGTCGGGTGCGCGTGTCGGCTGTGCGCTGCGGGTGCGCGTGTCGGGTGCGCGTTTGTGGTGCGCGTGTGGAGGCCCCCTCCCACGTCCGTTTCCATTACCTTCCATGTCCTTCGAGCCTGTGTGAGAAGCATTTGTCGTTGCTTCAGGGTCAGGACAGGAACGATGTCTGCGAGAGCTGAGGTGCTTCAATTTGGCTCGCCCTCCTACCGTAATTGAGCTGATTGTTATTTAGACCGTAGCGAGAGTTTGTTTTTAGGAGACTTTAACAATTTAAGATTCACTGCAATACGCACGATGAAATAACGTTCAACTTTTGACAAAATACTTTGTAAAATCTATAACAATAGAGACATTTTAATCTGCTTATACCTTGACGTAGTTTCAAATTTAGAACATTTCTTTTGAAACACCCAGTGTATAAATTATTGATATTATATGTGAAAACAGCAAACTCGACTATTTTGAAAAACTTTGGTTACGTATTATATAAAGCTCTCAAAGGTATTAAAACATTAGACAACTTGTATATCAAATGTGTGACCCCACTCTTGTTATGGTTACAATATCGACTATAAGTTACATTATTAACAAACTAATCATCTGATTCCAAAAACCTCCGAGTGCGCGTGAGACGAACCACCCCACGAACGATGGCCACCCTGCGCACGAACAACAACGCTGACTGCGCAACCGGTAGTAAGAAATCTCTACTCGGT